TATATATAGACAGACAGACAGACAGACAGATAGTGTGTATATACACACAAACTATGTCTAGTAACTGCTTTTAACCTGTGATGTACATAATTAACTGATGTTATTACGTTTTAAAGCCTTTTTCTATTACATTTGTGAGAGGGATGCAACATCATTTTGTTCTGCTGTGCACTTAGCAATAAAGTTAATCTTCAATAACAACTAGGCCTCTTCTAGAAATTGACCTGGTGGACACCTGAATAATTATTACAAACTGTGTAGTACTTTCCTGCATTATTATCAACGTCTGATTGTGTCTTCTCTTTCCTTTTAAAATACTAAAACAAATATAATTGTGACGGCTCTATGATAATCACTCACTTTGATGACCAGACACATTTAGGCTTTTAAACTGTTGTAAGTGAACTATTCATCTTTCTAACAACATCTTTATCAGCCAATAGTAAATATAGTTATTTACCTGATTGTTAGCATGCTGTCTGTGAACCTCTGGACAAGTGCTTTAATGAAGACAGGGTCGATGTTCCTCTTCTGCAGCTGGCTGAAAAGCATGTCCACATTTGGCATGATCTTGTGGAACAGTGCCAGGAAAAAACAGAAAGCCTCGTCTTCGAGCATCCTCACAAAGCCCCCCGCCTCTCTGACAGTCGGGGCATCAAAGTTCCCAGAGTCTCTGATGGTCTGGAAACACGTTAGGAGGTCATCCCTGTACTCGTACACAGTGTTTACAGCGCGACTGTGGAAGTTCCACCGTGTTGTAGAGGCTCTGGGGAGTCTATGCGCAACCACTTCGTCAAGCACGGTGGTTCGCTTGGGAGACCTGGAGAAGAAAGCAGAAAATCCTGCAAGGTCGGAAAAGAAAGTGCCGATCCTGGGGATGCGTGAAGTAGCCTGCTGCATGATGAGGTTCAGCTGATGTGCATAGCAGTGGACGTAGTGCGCATTTTCGTACACATCCACTATTTTACGCTGCACTCCGCCGGTGGCTCCCCTCATCACACTTGCTCCGTCGTAAGCCTGGGCAATAAGTTTGGCCTTTTGTCCATGTGAGAGTATGGTGCTGAGCCTCTCCAGCAGCGCTGTAGCGATGGTGTCGGCGGTTGCGTTCTCGATCAAAATGAACTCGAAAAAAACGCTCTTGGACGTTACTTTTAGCATCGATGTAGCGTATCACAAGCACCAACTGGCAGTGGGTGGAAACGTCAGTCGTCTCGTCAGCTTGAATGGCGATAAAATCAGCACTCTTTACTTCCTCCAGGATGTAATCCTTAAGCACTGACAGCATACAGTCCAACAGCTCGTTCTGTATCGTCTTTGACGTGCCCTTAAAAACGGTAGCTGTCTTCAGGTGCTCCTCCAGCACACTGTCGAGGGAGGCAACGAAATCCACTAAGCCCCGGAAAATGCCGGGGTTGTCCGAGGAGTCAGTCTCCTCGTGCCCACGCAAGGCCAACTCAAAAGCCCCACAGAACTTCACACAATCGATAATTTTGGATAGAATGTGCCTGTTTTTATCCACCTCCTCATTGTGTTTCCTCACCGCAATCCTGTGGCCGTCATCCAGCTGCGTAGCAATGTTCACCCTTCCTAATACAGCTAGCTTTACAGAGTTGTCCATGTGTGCCCTGGTGTTCTCATGTTTCTTTACCTTCTCTGACAGGTGCTTCATATCCCTCACTCCGGTACCTGTCCATGCTGAATCTGACCCCGTCGTTTTAAAAAGCAAGCACGGAAAGCAAAATAAAGCATTAGCATCAGTGCACCCAGCTAGCCAAGCCTTCCTGGTGTACCAGCTACGGGAGAAGCCGCGCATATACTGCTTCCCTTTCTCGCTAGCCTGCTGTCTGATTGAGAGGTCAGGTTGATCTGGGCCCAGCTCTTTCACCCGAACTTTCTCTGACAAAGTTCTCCTCTCAAACGGATCTTGGAGGAGAGATTTCACCGAGTTAGGGTTGGGTCTTGGAGGAGTAACGTTTGCGCTCGCCATTGTCGTCTAGTAAAAATGGCGCCACTGGAGCCCGGTCCTTATTTTATCAGGGGCGAGCTTGGGGCGATAAAATAATCGCCCTCCTTGGATTCGAATTAAAATAGCTGATTAGCTACATTTTATGTCATACATTCATATCTTAAATTAGCAATTGGCTTAACTGCTACGTAGACCCGCCTCCTCGGGGCACTTTCTGTATCGCCCAGAGCTGACGAGGCGTTTGACAGGCAGAGGAAAGGTTGCGAATATGATTTTCTATCATATCTTACACATATTACTGTGTGCATTCCATATTTCAAACACACAAATATTGACATACTGATGTTTTTATTATTATTATTATTTTATTTATTTATTTTTTTAAATAATTTTATTTAAGGGGGCGGCGCCCTAGCGCCCTCTATCGGCCAGCCGCCACTGTACAGCATCTTGTATCGCATTGATGTTGCTCTGAACGGCAAATCTTTCGCTATCTACAATAACAATGTATTAAGTAGCCTGCAATAAAAAGGTCAAATTCCCTGTCTAACTGTGTGCTTGCAATAAAGACGTGTTTACAGTGCCAAATCTTCTGTTGAATAATTCCAGTTAGGTAACTTCCTTATTCCATCTGTCTGCACTACCACTTCCCCAACCTTTACAGTTGCTCTATTGTTGTTCTGTTCCTAGTAACCACATGTTTAAACACGCCTGGAGTCATCCATATCAGAACATTTGCTTAGATAAATACATTCTAGTTCCTTCTGTTTTATTTCCGCAAATGGAGATAACATACAGCTCAATTCTAAAGTTGTAAGTTATTTAAACAGGGCCAAATTATATAGATTCTGGACATCAGACGTCCTTGAACTTTTACTGTTGAACTTAGGAGGCTACAGTAGGCTACTAAATACAATTTCCAGTGTCACACTGACTCACGTAATTTACTCAAGTGTTTCCTTTATCTTGGCAGTTACTGGTATGCCTACAGTCGGGAAGGCCACAATATGGGCAGCACGCGCGCCAAATATACAGCTTGTTGCATTGTGGCCATAGACATATAATCCAGAGTGGTTTTGGAACCTTTTACCTTGGCAATTTGAATGTTAAACTCACAGGTACACTAACAATGGCTGCCAGTCCTGGCTTGAATGGGTACTGCCATCTATTGATTATATTTCTAAGGTTGGTTGCAGCTGTCTGTTTGCTTTTGCAAATTCTAAATACAAATGCGTGAAAAACATACAGTTTGGAAAGCAAATAAATGCCTACCACTGAAAATGGAAGACTAATCTGTTTGTAGAACCTATATAAACCATTTTCTATCTAACAGCAGCACTGTTTTCAAAGTAGCTCATCTTGAAATAGGCTATTGCCAAGAGGAGCGCATTGGTCATCACAGTGAGAAGTAGCCTATGGCTTCATCATTAGGTGGGTCAGTGTGACACTGGAGATTGTATTTAGTAGCCTACCGTAGCCTCCTAATATTGTACAATCTGTGTGTCGCTTCATTGGCCTGGATATTGTTTGAATTCAAGACCAGATTGATCTCAGTTTGTCAGTGTCAAAGTAGCCACTCATTTCGGTCATTTGTGTGGTATTAAATAATATTCAGCTAATATCTTCTGTCATGTGTAGCTCAGTTGGTAGAGCAGGGCACTTGCAACGCCAGGGTTGTGGGTTCGATTCCCACGGGGGGCAAGTATGAATTTATGCACTCACTAACTGTAAGTCGCTCTGGATAAGAGCGTCTGCTAAATGACAAAAATGTAAATTAGGTAGAATTGCATGAAATGTGTTTTGAAAAGGCACAAAAAAATGGAGACCCTGTTAACAAATGTGATTTCTTAATCCAGCCCTTGCCTCACTACATGAGTAGAGCAGTCAATACATGAACATAGATATTCACTACGCTGGTCTCTTATTTACTTTGTCCCTATGGTGGTGAACTTAAATAACATGTTACAAATTCAAGACCACAGCAGCGGATACAAGCATGCACTGTATTGTCCTGTTACAGCTCACATCATTCAATCCACACCATTCAATCCCAGACATTCCCAATTGGTATTTTCTCAGTACACAGGCAGACAGACGACATCCAACAGCAGTCTGAGAGAAGGACATTAGTATTACATATCAAACACAACTTCTGAAGAAGGGGTCCTCTGTAGTCTATAGGCACCCTGATCCTCCCATAGAGTGGCAGGTACAGTACAGTTGACTGAAGCCGTATGTATGTAGCTGCGGAAACATTACAGAAAGTAGAATCTAAAAGGTCAATTTATAAGACATGGCACGCAGCCCTTGACAAGGGTTGGTGGATTTCATCCAGGAGGAAAGTGGCTAGTGCTGCTCTCATTTTCCCTTTGACAAGTGAAAGCAGTTCCTATACTGGGAGGAATTTGAGGGAGGGAGAGAGAGGGCAGAACATGGCGTGAGTCCATTTCCAACGAGAAGGCAGTTCAAGGCACCATAACTGCATCACGTGTTTAAAAAAAATCCTTGTTCGAGTATGTCTTGAGTCGATACAATTTCACTGAATAAGTACAAGAGTATCATACAAAAATCCACCCCCGCCCCAGCAAAGAAATAACCAATTAATTTGTACACTGACAATGTAAAAATCAAGGCACTACTGACATTACATTGAGAACACTGTTCAGTTCTTCTCAAAAGGAGACCTGGGAATAGAAAGGTGCAATAACCTGCAGTTTTTTCTCTCATGAAAACAAATTAGTATTTCAAAAATAAAAACAAAAATAAAACATGAGTCTATGCGTCAGCGCAAAATGCAGCGCAAACTTAATTTAAATTGTCTCTTAAAAAAACACAACATATTAATTGTAGACAAAGTGCTTGGTGACACATCCTGTTTTTATCAGTCATAAGTCACAAGTGTATAAACGCACGTCCATGATCAGTTTCCATTGAAACAGCGACACTAACAGCCTCCATACGGTATCCTCCAGGCCGTGGGGCTCAGCATAGATATCCAGTTCTGGATTGAGTTCTATTGTGCCCCCTGTCTGTGTCAGGCCTCATCTACATAGGGGATGTCTGGGTCTGAGAACCGTCTAAGGGCCTTGCTGGCGGTCTGGAGGCTCTGTGGGGTGGAGGTGGAAAGGGAGAGGGAGGAGATGGAGGGGGGAGAGGGGAACAGGTCCTTGTCCGGGCTGATGTACAGGGACTGGATGCTGTCTTTGCGTCGGGCGGGCTGCTCCCGCCTCTTCACCAGGCTGAAGCCACTGCTGGCAGGGGGGGTGAGGGCCACAGTGGGGGGGTGCGAGTGGATGCCCGGGGGCAGCTTCACCGTGCCGGGGATGATGGGGCGGCGGCGTTGCAGCTGGTGCCGGGAGGTGGCGCCAAAGGCAGAGGCAACAGTGGAGACGAGGTTGGGGGGGGAGGAACACCCCCCTGGGGACATAGGTCTCTGGGCCAGGTCAGAGGGCTTGGGAGGGCAGTTCAGCTTGGCCTTATTCAACAGGAAAAAACCTCTCCCTGGAAGAGAGGGATGAGAGAGAAAGAGTTAGGAGGAGGAAAAAACTGCATAATCCACTCAGAGAGTTAAAGTATAGCAGCCATCCTAAAAGGGCTCATATCACTACAAAAACATGCCACCATGTAGAGAGCTAAATTCCAGTGGGCAGTCAGTCAGACAAATTTGGGATGACAATATATTTTTCCCCCCGCAGATTATTTTCAACGGTTGTCTTTCTGTTTTGTATGTGTTAACTATTGTATTAAATCAGCTCTTTGTCGCAATATTCACAAACTCTCATAGGATAATTCTGCTTCAAATTCAGTGGCCTACCTCTCCTCTCTTGTGTTTGGCGTGCAATATCAAATGCGCCTATGCGTGATCTCAATTAAATAGCCTAAATAGCCACTTCCTAAATATTATAGGCTTTAGTTAAGGCTCCGACATTGACTGGAATTTATGCAAGATAATTTTGAAACACTGTTGTCTTTTTGTTTTGTAGGCTATTCGTCATCTATTGCATTAAAAGCACCCTTGTCGCAATATTCAAACTAATTGCCTAATTCTTGCTGATTTACGATCAGTAGCCTACCTATCTTCTCTTGTGTTAGCTGTGCAAAATCTAGCGCGCCTATACATTATGTGTGGTCTCAATTCAATAGCCTGTAGACAACGCTATATGGGCGAAGAGGCACGGCGCTGTTGTCTTTAACTTCCTAAATATGATAGGGTATAGTTTAGACTCCAACATTGACCATAAATAAATATTGATAATGCATTTATTTTACTCTGCTTGCAAATGGTCCCGCTCCTAAAAGTTATGCAAAATGTTGCTCAAGTCAAGTGTCCACTATTACAATTAGCTTAAAAAAATAAATAATGGAATAGTCCACCGGAAGCTAAATTCAATTCAATTTCAATTTACTCTGCCGATTGTCCATAGGGTTGGTCGTTATGCAGGGGGGAATTTAGAAGAAAAAAAAATCGAATAGGGCATAAATTAAACAGACTTTCCAAACGTGGGTCTGTCGTAGACCCACTTCCTCTCCGCTTACCTCATGTCCTGCACGTATGCCACACCTGCACACAAAAAAGCAAGAACTTGTGGGGGACTTCTATTTTGACATGAAGGAAGTAGAGAGGAACTGACCTCACTGAGGAACTCCATGGGTCTACAACAGACCCACGTTTGGAAATTCTGTTTATTATGTTTGTTTTTTGAAATTCCCCCTGCATTAGGGCCAAGCCTACAGACAATCGACAGAGTAAGTTGAAATTGAATGAGATTTGTATTTGTATTTATTAAGGATGCCGTTTAGCTGCAGCCAAGGCAGCAGCTACTTTTCCTGGGGTCCAGCAACATAAAGGCAGTTATATACAATTTAAAATATACATGACATTACATTTCATAACATTTTTCACAACACATTAAGTGTGTTCCCTCTGGCCACTACTCTACTATCACATACAGTGCATTCGGAAAGTATTCAGACCCCTTGACTTTTCCACATTTTGTAACTTTACAGCCTTATTCTAAAATTGATAACATTAATTTTATTCCTCATCAATCTACACACAATACCCCATAATGACAAAGCGAAAACAGGTTTTTAGAAATGTTTGCAAGTAAGTATTCAGACCCTTTGCTATGAGACTTGAAATTGAGCTCAGGTGCATCCTGTTTCCATTGATCATCCTTGAGATGTTTCTACAACTTGATTGGAGTCCACCTGGGTAAACAGGCTGATTGGTCGGCTATTTGAGCCAATAACGGGGGCTTTACTATTCTTGGGTAGCGGAATTACTTTTGCTTCCCTCCAGGCTTGAGGGCACACACTTTCTAGTAGGCTTAGATTGAAGACATGGCAAATAGGAGGGGCAATATCGTCCGCTATTATCCTCGTAATTTTTCATCCAAGTTGTCAGACCCTGGCGGCTTGTCATTGTTTTATAGACAACAACAATTTTTCCACCTCTTCCACACTCACTTTACAGAATTCAAAATGTCAATGCTCGTCTTTCATAATTTAATCAGTTATACTTGGATGTGTAGTGTCAGCGTTTGTTGCTGGCATGTAATGCCTAAGTCTGCTAATCTTGCCAAGTAATACTAAATGTATGTTGTGTAGTAAGCTGTTAGTAGCCCATGTGCCTCACCCTAATAATTTGGTCCCTTTTTCCCTCATAATTTATCCTACTGTTCTGACTTGGTGGTGCACACGTAGCCTATAGCCTGTTTTAAAGAAATGTCATCATCGAATATTGTAAGCGCTTTCATTGTCTGATAAATGCCCCCTTTATTTATCCTACGGTTCTGACTTGGTGTACAGGGAGAATACTGTAAGAACGGCCCATGTTCTGAATTCTGTCGCTGTACATTTCAAAAGTGCTAAACAAATAATGATATTGACTACGTCCGTCCTAGTTCGCTCATGAATGTCTTAATCGAAATTACGAATTGCCTCTTATCTGCTCGTCGTCCCCTTATGCCATAGTTTGTACATCTCAATTGACAGTATTTTTTTAATTTAATTTTTATTTCACCTTTATTTAACCAGGTAAACCAGTTGAGAACAAGTTCTCATTTACAACTGCGACCTGGCCAAGATAAAGCAAAGCAGTGCGATAAAAACAACAACACAGAGTTATATATGGGGTAAAACAAAACAAAGTCAAAAATACAACAGAAATACATATATATACAGTGTGTGCAAATGTAGCAAGTTATGGAGGTAAGGCAATAAATAGGCTATAGTGCAAAATAATTACAATTAGTATTAACACTGGAATGATAGATGTGCAAGAGATGATGTGCAAATAGAGATACTGGGGTACAAATGAGCAAAATAAATAACAATATAGGGATGAGGTAGTTGGGCGGGCTAATTTCAGATGGGCTGTGTACAGGTGCAGTGATCGGTAAGGTGCTCTGACAACTGATGCTTAAAGTTAGTGAGGGAGATAAGTGTCTCCAGCTTCAGAGATTTTTGCAATTTGTTCCAGTCATTGGCAGCAGAGAACTGGAAGGAATGGCGGCCAAAGGAGGTGTTGGCTTTGGGGATGACCAGTGAGATATACCTGCTGGAGCGCAGACTACGGGTGGGTGTTGCTATGGTGACCAATGAGCTAAGATAAGGCGGGGATTTGCCTAGCAGTGATTTATAGATGGCCTGGAGCCAGTGGGTTTGGCGACTAATATGTAGTGAGGACCAGCCAACAAGAGCGTACAGGTCACAGTGGTGGGTAGTATATGGGGCTTTGGAGACAAAACGGATGGCACTGTGATAGACTACATCCAATTTGCTGAGTAGAGTGTTGGAGGCTATTTTGTAAATGACATCGCCGAAGTCAAGGATCGGTAGGATAGTCAGTTTTACGAGGGCATGTTTGGCAGCATGAGTGAAGGAGGCTTTGTTGCGAAATAGGAAACCGATTCTAGATTTAACTTTGGATTGGAGATTCTTAATGTGAGTCTGGAAGGAGAGTTTACAGTCTAACCAGACACCTAGATATTTGTAGTTGTCCACATACTCTAGGTCAGACCCGTCGAGAGTAGTGATTCTAGTCGGGTGGGCGGGTGCAAGCAGCGTTCGGTTGAAGAGCATGCATTTAGTTTTACTAGTGTTTAAGAGCAGTTGGAGGCTACTGAAGGAGTGTTGTATGGCATTGAAGCTCGTTTGGAGGTTTGTTAACACAGTGTCCAATGAAGGTCCAGATGTATACAAAATGGTGTCGTCTGCGTAGAGGTGGATCTGAGAGTCACCAGCAGCAAGAGCGACGTCATTGATATACACAGAGAAAAGAGTCGACCCAAGAATTGAACCCTGTGGCACCCCCATAGAGACTGCCATAGGTCCAGACAACAGGCCCTCCGATTTGACACATTGAACTCTATCTGAGAAGTAGTTGGTGAACCAGGCGAGGCAGTCATTTGAGAAACCAAGGCTATTTAGTCTGGCAATAAGAATGCGGTGGTTGACAGAGTCGAAAGCCTTGGCCAGGTCAATGAAAACGGCTGCACAGTACTGTCTATTATCGATCGCGGTTATAATATCGTTTAGGACCTTGAGCGTGGCTGAAGTGCACCCATGACCAGCTCGGAAACCGGATTGCATAGCGGAGAAGGTACGATGGGATTCGAAATGGTCGGTGATCTGTTTGTTGACTTGGCTTTCAAAAACTTTAGAAAGGCAGGGCAGGATGGATATGGGTCTGTAACAGTTTGGATCTAGAGTGTCACCCCCTTTGAAGAGGGGGATGACCGCGGCAGCTTTCCAATCTCTGGGGATCTCAGACGTTACGAAAGAGAGGTTGAACAGGCTAGTAATAGGGGTTGCGACAATTTCGGCGGCTAGTTATAGAAAGAAAGGGTCCAGATTGTCTAGCCCAGATGATTTGTAGGGGTCCAGATTTTGCAGCTCTTTCAGAACATCAGCTGTCTGGATTTGTGTGAAGGAGAAGCGGGGGGGGCATGGGCAAGTTGCAGCGGAGGGTGCAGAGCTGGTGGCCGGGGTAGTGGTAGCCAGGTGGAAAGCATGGCCAGCCGTAGCAAAATGCTTGTTGAAATTCTCGATTATTGTAGATTTATCGGTGGTGATAGTGTTTCCTAGCCTCAGTGCAGTGGGCAGCTGGGAGGAAGTGCTCTTATTTTCCATAGACTTTACAGTGTCCCAAAACTTTTTGGAGTTAGTGCTACAGGATGCAAATTTCTGTTTGAAAAAGTTAGCCTTTGCTTTCCTAACTGCTTGTGTGTATATTGGTTCCTAACTTCCCTGAAAAGTTGCATATCGCGGGGGCTATTTGATGCTAATGCAGTACGCCACAGGATGTTTTTGTGCTGGTCAAGGGCAGTCAAGTCTGAGGAGAACCAGGGGCTATATCTGTTCTTAGTTCTGTATTTTTTGAATGGGGCATGTTTATTTAAGATTGAGAGGAAATTACTTTTAAAGAACAACCAGGCATCCTCTACTGACGGAATGAGATCTATATCCATCAAGGATACCTGGGCCAGGTCAATTAGGAAGGCCTGCTCGCTGAAGTGTTTTTGGGAGCGTTTGACAGTGATGAGGGGTGGTCGTTTGACCGCGGACCCGTTACGGACGCAGGCAATAAGGCAGTGATCGCTGAGATCCTGGTTGAAGACAGCGGAGGTGTATTTAGAGGGTAAGTTAGTCAGGATGATATCTATGAGGGTACCCATGTTTACGGATTTAGGGTTGTACCTGGTAGGTTCGTTGATAATTTGTGTGAGATTGAGGGCATCTAGTTTAGATTGTAGGATGGCCGGGGTGTTAAGCATATCCCAATTTAGGTCACCAAGCAGTACGAACTCTGAGGATAGATGGGGGGCAATCAATTCACATATGGTGTCCAGGGCACAGCTGGGGGCTGAGGGAGGTCTGTAGCAAGCGGCAACAGTGAGAGATTTCTTTCTGGAAAGGTGGATTTTTAGAAGTAGAAGCTCAAACTGTTTGGGCACAGACCTGGATAGTATGATAGAGCTCTGCAGGCTATCTCTACAGTAGATTGCAACTCCACCCCCTTTGGCAGTTCTATCTAGACGGAAAATGTTATAGTTGGGGATGGAAATTTCAGAATTTTTGGTGGCCTTCCTAAGCCAGGATTCAGACACTGCTAGAACATCAGGGTTGGCGGAGTGTGCTAACGCAGTGAATAACTCAAACTTAGGAAGGAGGCTTCTGATTTACGTGCAGAAAACCAAGACTTTTACGGTTACAGAAGTCAACAAATGATAGCTCCTGGGGAGTAGGAGTGATACTGGGGGCTGCAGGGCCTGGGTTAGCCTCTACATCACCAGAGGAACAGAGGAGGACTAGAATAAGGATACGACTAAAGGCTTTAAGAACTGGTCTTCTAGTGCGTTGGGTACATAGAATAAAGGGGGCAGTTCTCCGGGCGTTGTAGAAAAGATTCAGGGCATTATGTACAGAAAAGGATATGGAAGGATATGAGTACAGTTCAGGTAACCCTAAGCGTTGGGTAACAATGAAAGAGATAGCGTCACTGGAGGCACCGATTGAGCCGGTCTCGGCGTGTATGGGGGGTGGAACAAAGGAACTATTTGAGGCAGTTTGAGAGGGACTAGGGGTTATACAGTGAAATTGTATAATAAGAACTAACCCAAACAGCAATAGGCAAGGCATAATTGACATGGGAGAGAGGCATAAAGCAGTCACAGGTGTTATTAGAGAGAGCTAAGACAACAACTGGAAATAGCGATAACGTTTGGGCTAAGGCTAAACAGAATAAACAGGACAGGGTACCGTGTAAAGGAACAGTCCAGCAGGCATCAGCTGTGCAGCTGAGTGATCATAAGGTCCAGTGAACAGCAATATGTGAGTCCGAGAGCAGTTCAAATTGGTGCTTCAGCACAGCTAGCAGGGAGCACAGTTGTAGTTTGCGTGTGCTAGCGGGCCGGGGCTGGCAGATGGATCTTCGTGGTCGTCGCAACGGGAAGCCTGTTGAAACCACATCAGACTATTTCGTCGGCAAACCAGTCGTGTTGGGTCGGCGGGGCTCAGTGTCAACACTAGGAGGTCCCGTCCGGTTGACAGAGAGGTAGATAGCCGGGAGATGGGCCTGAGGCTAGCTCAAGGCTAACTGGTGCTTGCTATAGGGCAATGGTAATTAGCCAACAACAGGTTGCAGCTAGCTAGCTGGTTGCGATGATCCGGCGCTAGGTTCCAGTGATTCCGGCAGAAAGTCCAATAAGCTCTGGGTCGATAGCACGCTGTGCAGACTGGCCGACGAATTGTCCAGGCTAGAGCTAGAGCTGGCTGGTGGATAGTGTAGGCCACGGACAGTGGTGAAGACGCTAACGGTGACTAATTGCAAGTAGCCATTCAGTTGCAGCTACACTAGTTTCAACTTAAGGTTCTTGATGAAAGTTATAAAGAAATAATAGAATCCTTTCCACGTTGGGTGACGTGGGTTGCAGGAAAGTATATTTAGTTAAAGAATGAAAAGTAAAAATTGAGGCTGAATGAACTGTTTCGCTGCCAGACAAGGCTTCGCTGTTAGCCAGGTGTAGCAGTGGTAAGGTGTTGGGAGAGTTTTATGTAGGTCCTAACAGTTTGTGGTACCGCTTGTCACCGTTATAGTGCATGCATCTAAAAACATTTTTTTGAGTTTGCCCACCCATATTTACATGTTAATATCGCCACTACATGTGCGTAATGGTCATGGGAAGTGAAATGTGTATATTTTGGGAAGTGAGCACTCAGTTTGACCTGACGAAAATCCATTTCGGATTGAAACAGTCAATAAAGCGAGGAATTGGGAGCTTAAAGAGTGTGCGGGCCTTCTTATTCTTTACTAGTATTCTTTATTAGCCCAGCACCTATGTTTTTTAAGGATGTGTGTATGACCACATACTTTTCAAAAGGGCCAGACACCATATCATCGCGTGACTCCAAGTTTTCTTCGATATGATGGTTATATTATATCAGTATTTGCACATAAAGGCATTTCCATTGCCATTTCTCACATAATACATTTTACCGACACAAAAATATCCACTATGTCGAATGAACAAATTGTCTGTCTGCATTTATAAAATTGTACCGAACCTTCCTGTTTCCATCACAACTGTCGTGATTTTCTTTTTATAAGGTGACTTTACTCTCATGAAAACTGTGGATGGAAACATGGTCACTATCAAATATTTATTTGTCTACTATACAGCATCTTGTATCGCATTGATGTTGCTCTGAACGGCAAATCTTTCGCTATCTACAATAACAATGTATTAAGTAGCCTGCAATAAAAAAGGTCAAATTCCCTGTCTAACTGTGTGCTTGCAATAAAGACGTGTTTACAGTGCCAAATCTTCTGTTGAATAATTCCAGTTAGGTAACTTCCTTATTCCATCTGTATGCACTACCACTTCCCCAACCTTTACAGTTGCTCTATTGTTGTTCTGTTCCTAGTAACCACATGTTTAAACACGCCTGGAGTCATCCATATCAGAACATTTGCTTCGATAAATACATTCTAGTTCCTTCTGTTTTATTTTCGCAAATGGAGATAACATACAGCTCAATTCTAAAGTTGTAAGTTATTTAAACAGGGCCAAATTATATAGATTCTGGACATCAGACGTCCTTGAACTTTTACTGTTGAAATTAGGAGGCTACAGTAGGCTACTAAATACAATTTCCAGTGTCCCACTTACATTTACATTACATTTACGTCATTTAGCAGACGCTCTTATCCAGAGCGACTTACAGTTAGCGCATACATTATTTTATCGAACCCACAACCCTGGCGTTGCAAACGCCATGCTCTACCAACTGAGCTACATCCCCTGCCGGCCATTCCCTCCCCTACCCTGGACGACGCTGGGCCAATTGTGCGCCGCCCCATGGGTCTCCCGGTCGCGGCCGGCTACGACAGAGCCTGGATTCGAACCAGGATCTCTAGTGGCACAGCTAGCACTGCGATGCAGTGCCTTAGACCACTGCGCCACTCGGGAGATTGACTCATGTAATTTACTCAGGTGTTTCCTTTATCTTGGCAGTTACTGGTATGCCTACAGTCGGGAAGGCCACAATATGGGCAGCACGCGCGCCAAATATACAGCTTGTTGCATTGTGGCCATAGACATATAATCCAGAGTGGTTTTGGAACCTTTTACCTTGGCAATTTGAATGTTAAACTTACAGGTACACTAACAATGGCTGCCAGTCCTGACTTGAATGGGTACTGCCATCTATTGATTATATTTCTACGGTTGGTTGCAGCTGTCTGTTTGCCTTTTGCAAATTTCTAAATACAAATGCGGGAAAAACATACAGTTTGGAAAGCAAATAAATGCCTACCGCTGAAAATGGAAGACTAATCGGCTTGTAGAACCTATATAAACCATTTTTTTATCTAACAGCAGTACTGTTTTCAAAGTAGCTCATCTTGAAGTAGGCTATTGCCAAGAGGAGCGCATTGGTCATCACAGTGAGAAGTAGCCTTCATAATTAGGTGAGTCAGTGTGACACTGGAGATTGTATTTAGTACCACGACCACGAAGATCCATCTGCTAGCCCCGGCCTGCTAGCACACGCAAACAACAGCCGTGCTTCCTGCTCGCTGTGCTTTAGCATCAATTCGAACTGCTCTCGGACTCACATATTGCTGTTCACTGGACCTTATGATCACTCAGCTACACAGCTGATGCCTGCTGGACTGTTCCTTTACACGGTACCCTGTCCTGTTTATCTGTTTAGCCTCAGCCCAAACTTTCATCGCCATTACCAGTTGTTGTCTTAGCTCTCTCTAATAACACCTGTGATTCCTTTATGCCTCTCTCCCATGTCAATATGCCTTGCCTATTGCTGTTCCAGTTAGTTCTTATTATACAATTTCAATATAGAACCCCAAGTCATTCTCAAACTGCCTCAAATAGCTCCTTTGTTCCACCCCCCCAACACCATTTTGTATACATCTGGCCCTTCATTGGACACTGTGTTAACAAACCTCCAAACGAGCTTCAATGCCATACAACACTCCTTCAGTAGCCTCCAACTGCTCTTAAACACTAGTAAAACTAAATGCATGCTCTTCAACCGAACGCTGCTTGCACCCGCCCACCCGACTAGAATCACTACTCTCGACGGGTCTGACCTAGATTATGTGGACAACTACAAATATCTAGGTGTCTGGTTAGACTGTAAACTCTCCTTCCAGACTCACATTAAGCATCTCCAATTCAAAGTTAAATCTAGAATTGGCTTCCTATTTCGCAACAAAGCCTCCTTCACTCAAGCTGCCAAACATGCCCTCGTAAAACTGACTATCCTACCGATCCTTGACTTCGGCGATGTCATTTACAAAATAGCCTCCAACACTCTACTCAGCAAATTGGATGTAGTCTATCACAGTGCCATCCGTTTTGTCTCCAAAGCCCCATACGCTACCCACCACTGTGACCTGTACGCTCTTGTTGGCTGGTCCTCACTACATATTTGTCGCCAAACCCACTGGCTCCAGGCCATCTATAAATCACTGCTAGGCAAATCCCTGCCTTATCTTAGCTCATTGGTCACCATAGCAACACCCACCCGTAGTATGTGCTCCAGCAGGTATATCTCACTGGTCATCCCCAAAGCCAACACCTCCTTTGGCCGCCATTCCTTCCAGTTCTCTGCTGCCAATGACTGGAACGAACTGCAAAAATATGAAGCTGGAGACTCATATCTCCCTCACTAACTTTAAGCATCAGTTGTCAGAGCACCTTACCGATCACTGCACCTGTACACAGCCCATCTGAAATTAGCCCACCCAACTACCTCATCTTGTTCTCAACTGGCTTACCTGGTTAAATAAAGGTGAAAAAAAAACAAAAAAAACCAAAAAAAAACACGCAGAGACAGGCTCAATCGGTGCCTCCAGTGATGCTATCTCTTTCATTGTTACCCAACGCTTAGGTTTACCTCCACTGTACTCATATCCTTCCATATCCTTGTCTGTACATAATGCCCTGAATCTATTCTACAACGCCCGGAAATCTGCCCCCTTTATTCTCTGTACCCAACGCACTAGAAGACCAGTTCTTAAAGCCTTTAGCTGTATCCTTATTCTAGTCCTCCTCTGTTCCTCTGGTGATGTAGAGGCTAACCCAGGCCCTGCAGCCCCCAGTATCACCCCTACTCCCCAGGAGTTATCATTTGTTGACTTCTGTAACCGTAAAAGCCTTAGTTTTCTGCACGTTAACATCAGAATCCTCCTTCCTAAGTTTGCGTTATTCACTGCGTTAGCACACTCCGCCAACCCTGATGTTCTAGCAGTGTCTGAATCCTGGCTTAGGAAGGCCACCAAAAATTCAGAAATGTCCATCCCCAACTACAACATTTTCCGTCTAGATAGAACTGCCAAAGGGGGTGGAGTTGCAATCTACTGTAGAGATAGCCTGCAGAGCTCTATCATACTATCCAGGTCTGTGCCCAAACAGTTTGAGCTCCTTCTTCTAAAAATCCACCTTTCCAGAAATAAGTCTCTCACTGTTGACGTTTGCTACAGACCCCCCTCAGCCCCCAGCTGTGCCCTGGACACCATATGTGAATTGATTGCCCCCCATCTATCCTCAGAGTTCATACTGCTTGGTGACCTAAACTGGGATATGCTTAACACCCCGGCCATCCTACAATCCAAACTAGATGCTCTCAATCTCACACAACTGATCAAAGAACCTACCAGGTACAACCCTAAATCCGTAAACATGGGCACCCTCATAGATATCATCCTTACTAACTTACCCTCTAAATACACCTCCGCTGTCTTCAACCAGGATCTCAGCGATCACTGCCTTATTGCCTGCGTCCGTAACGGGTCCGCGGTCACACGGCCCCTCCCTCATCACTGTCAAACGCTCCCTATAACACTTTAGCGAGCAGGCCATCCTAATTGACCTGGATGGATATCGATCTCATTCCGTCAGTAGAGAATGCCTGGTTGTTCTTTAAAAGTGCTTTCCTCTCAATCTTAAATAAGCATGCCCCATTCAAAAAATTCAGAACTAAGAACAGATATAGCCCCTGGTTCTCCTCAGACTTGACTGCCCTTGACCAGCACAAAAACATCCTGTGGTGTACTGCATTAACATCGAATAGCCCCCGCGATATGCAACTTTTCAGGGAAGTTAGGAACCAATATACACAAGCAGTTAGGAAAGTAAAGGCTAGCTTTTTCAAACAGAAATTTGCATCCTGTAGCACTAACTCCAAAAAGTTTTGGGACACTGTAAAGTCCATGGAGAATAAGAGCACCTCCTCCCAGCTGCCCACTGCACTGAGGCTAGGAAACACTATCACCACCGATAAATCTACAATAATCGAGAATTTCAACAAGCATTTTGCTACGGCTGGCCATGCTTTCCACCTGGCTACCACTACCCTGGCCACCAGCTCTGCACCCTCCGCTGCAACTTGCCCACGCTCAAGGTCCTAAACGATATTATAACCGCGATTGATAATAGACAGTACTGTGCAGCCGTCTTCATCGACCTGGCCAAGGCTTTCGACTTTGTCAACCACTGCATTCTTATTGGCAGACTAAATAGCCTTGGTTTCTCCAATGACTGCCTCGCCTGGTTCACCAACTACTTCTCAGATAGAGTTCAATGTGTCAAATCGGAGGGCCTGTTGTCTGGACCTATGGCAGTCTCTATGGGGGTGCCACAGGGTTCAATTCTTGGGTCGACTCTTTTCTCTGTGTATATCAATGATGTCGCTCTTGCTGCTGGTGACTCTCAGATCCACCTCTACGCAGACGACACCATTTTGTATACATCTGGCCCTTCATTGGACACTGTGTTAACAAACCTCCAAACGAGCTTCAATGCCATACAACACTCCTTCCGTAGCCTCCAACTTTTCTTAAACACTAGTAAAACTAAATGCATGCTCTTCAATCGAACGCTGCTGGCACCCGCCCACCCGACTAGAATCACTACTCTCGACGGGTCTGACCTAGAGTATGTGGACAACTACAAATACCTAGGTGTCTGGTTAGACTGTAAACTCTCCTTCCAGACTCACATTAAGCATCTCCAATTCAAAGTTAAATCTAGAATTGGCTTCCTATTTCGCAACAAAGCCTCCTTCACTCAAGCTGCCAAACATGCCCTCGTAAAACTGACTATCCTACCGATCCTTGACTTCGGCGATGTCATTTACAAAATAGCCTCCAACACTCTACTCAGCAAATTGGATGTAGTCTATCACAGTGCCATCCGTTTTGTCTCCAAAGCCCCATACGCTACCCACCACTGTGACCTGTACGCTCTTGTTGGCTGGTCCTCACTACATATTCGTCGCCAAACCCACTAGCTCCAGGCCATCTATAAATCACTGCTAGGCAAATCCCTGCCTTATCTTAGCTCATTGGTCACCATAGCAACACCCACTCGTAGTATGCGCTCCAGCAGGTATATCTCACTGGTCATCCCAAAGCCAACACCTCCTTTGGCCGCCATTCCTACCCAGTTCTCTGCTGCCAATGACTGGAACGAACTGCAAAAATCTCTGAAGCTGGAGACACTTATCTCCCTCACTAACTTTAAGCATCAGTTGTCAGAGCAACTTAACGATCACTGCACCTGTTAACCAGCCCTCTTCGGAAATTAGCCCACTCAACTACCTCATCCCCGATATTGTTATTTAATTTTAACATTTACATTTCCATGTTTAGGTCCATTTAGCAGACGCTCTTATCCAGAGCTACTTACAGTTAGGAGTGCCATACATTTTTCATACTGGCCCCCCGTGGGAAATAATCTGGTTGATATTTTAGATCCAATTGTTTTAGGTGACAAAAGACCTTTTTGCTCATTGCCCCCCCAGTCTCTCTATTTGCACATAGATCTCTTGCACATCTATCATATCCAGTGTTAATACTAATTGTAATTATTTTTGCAACTATGGCCTATTTATTGCCTACCTCCATAACTTGCTACATTTGCAACACACTATATATATTTTCTGTGGTAATTTTTGACTTTATGTTGTTGTTTTACCCCATATGTTAACTCTGTGTTTGTTGTTTTTTAATCGCACTGCTTTGCTTATCCTGGCCAGGTCGCAGTTGTAAATGAAGACTTGTTCTCAACGGCTTACCTGTGTTAAATAAATGGTTAAATAAAAAATAGTAGCCTACCGAGCCTCCTAAATTGTGTCGCTTCATTGGCCTGGCCTATTGTTCAATTCAAGACCAGATTGATCTCAGTTGGTCAGTGCGAGTAGCACTCATTTCGGCATTTGTGTGTATTAAATAATTTATCAGCTAATGTCTTTGTCATAAATTAGTAAATTTCATGAAATGTGTTTTGAAAAGGCACAAAAAAGGCTCCAAATTGAGCTGGAAATAAATATGATAACGCATGGGGGGCGGGGGGGGGGGGGGGGATTTTGAATTTAAAAAAAAAACATCTAATAGAACATAAATTAAACAGACTTTCTAAACGTGGGTCTGTCTTGGACCCACTTCCTCCAAGGCTGCAGCTACTCTTCCTGGGGTCCAGCAACATAAAGGCAGTTATATACAATTTAAAATATTACATGACATTACATTTCATAACAATTTTCACAACATATTAAGTGTGTTCCCTCAGGCCACTACTACTACTATCACATACAGTGCATTCGGAAACTATTCAGACCCCTTGACCTTTCCACATTTTGTAACGTTACAGCCTTATTCTAAAATTTATAACATTAATTTTTTCCTCATCAATCTACACACAATACCCCATAATGACAAAGCGAAAACAGGTTTTTAGAAATGTTTGCAAGTAAGTATTCAGACCCTTTGCTATGAGATTTAAAATTGAGCTCAGGTGCATCCTGTTTCCATTGATCATCCTTGAGATGTTTCTACAACTTGATTGGAGTCCACCTGTGGTAAACAGGCTGATTGGTCGGCTATTTGAGCTAATAACGGGGGCTTTACTATTCTTGGGTAGCGGAATTACTTTTGCTTCCCTCCAGGCCTGAGGGCACACACTTTCTAGTAGGCTTAGATTGAAGACATGGCAAATAGGAGGGGCAATATCGTCCACTATTATCCTCGTAATTTTCCATCCAAGTTGTCAGACCCCGGTGGCTTGTCATTGTTTTATAGACAACATTCCTTTTCCACACTCACTTCACGAAATTCAAAATTATAATGCTAGTCTTTCATCATTTGATCAGTTATACTTGGATGTGTAGTGTCAGCGTTTGTTGCTGGCATGTCATGCCTAAGTCTGCTAATCTTGCCAAGTAATTGGCAATATCAGTGGGTTTTGTGATGATTCAATGAATGGAGCCGAGTTTGCCTTTTTGCCCGAAATTTCATTTAAGGTTCTCCAAAGCTTTTTACTACCATTCTTTATATAAACTTTGTTTTATAGTGTAGTTTCTCCTTCTTTTTATTGAGTTTAGTCACTTGATTTTTCAATTTGCAGTACGTTTGCCAATCGGTTGTGCAGCCAGACTTATTTGCCATTCCTTTTGCCTCATCCCTCTCAACCATACAACTTTTCAATTCCTCATCAATCCACGGGAATTTAACAGTTTTTTGTTTGTACATTTGTTACCCCTTTTTCTCCCCAATTTCGTGATATCCAATTGGTAGTTACGGACTCGGAAGAGGCGAAGGTCGTACGGACTCGGGAGAGGCGAAGGTCGAAAGCCATGCGTCCTCCGAAACACAACCCTGCCAAGCCGCACTGCTTCTTGACACACTGCTTGACACCAATGTGTCGGAGGAAACGCCGTACAACTGGCGACACGAGTCAGCCTGCATGCGCAGGGCCCGCCACAAGGAGTCGCTAGATCGCGATGGGACAAGGATATCCCGGCCGGCCAAACCCTCCCCTAACCCGGACGATGCTGAGCCAATTGTGCGCCGCCTCATGGGTTTCCCTGTCGCAGCCGGCGACACAGCCTGGGATCGAGCCCGGGTCTGTAGTGACGCCACTGCGATGCAGTGCCTTAGACCGCTGCGCCACTCGGGAGGCCGATATAACAGTTTTTAACTTCTGGCTTCCGGTGGACTACTACGTTTTTTTGCAAGATAATTCCCAGCAACCCTAGTGTGTAAATACTAGCGTTGCTAAAAGCAGCTAGTGTCCACTCTCCTATATTTCGCCAACCCTATTCTCTTTCCAACTACCCTATTGGCTGATATAGCCCAATAATACCGATAACCTAATATAATGGGCCACGTGAGAATCTCTGGTATTTTATCCTATTTCTTAGGCTATTTTTGCGCATTTTGATCTTAATAATAATAATAATAATATGCCATTTAGCAGACGCTTTTATCCAAAGCGACTTACAGTCATGCGTGCATAACATTTTTTTTTTGTGTATGGGTGGTCCCGGGGATCGAACCCACTACCTTGGCGTTACAAGCGCCGTGCTCTACCAGCTGAGCTACAGAGGACCTACAGGATCTTGACTAGGGTGGCAAAATTGCTGGGACCAGGGCTGCAAAGCAAGCTGCGTCACATACAGTACACCTAAAATAACATTGCGGGACTGCGGTCAGGTTGGGGACCAGTCTTGCAGGAGTGGGTGGGAGTTGGACAACAAGTCAGCGGGAGCGAGCATGGTATGAAAAGCAGCAGTAGCGGGTTGAAGAAATCAGTACCCCTCGCAGACCTCTACCACCATGTTACTCCACCACCACCAGTTAGTCTGGTCAAAGTTTCTGCATGCCACACAAAACACTCATGCAAACACACAAAAACACACTCAAACACTTTGCTTGTGAAACCGGGAGCCTCCAACCTGCTAGAGAGCAGACGGCATCTCTGCCAACCTCTTTAAATGCAGCACCACCAGCTTGTCCAGACCTGCACCAGAGACAGCAGGGACAGACAGGGGGCCAGGCAGGCCGATGAGAAACCCACAGGTGTGAATAGGTAGGAAAGGGGGGAGAGAGATTGTACCTTTAATACTGACCTTCAGGCTCCGAGTTGTTGCAGCGCTCGTCCAACAGGCTCTCAGAGCTCAGCGACGCCTCAGAGTCCAGATTGTCCTGGTCAGAACCAGGTTGCTCCAGCTCTGGCAGTCTGCAGGCGAGGTCTTCCCTGGGAAAGGGGGGGAAGGGAGAGACAGAAAACAGAGAGGTCACAAATGTAACCAAGGGTTGTTTGGTGGATAGCAGGCACAAAATATAACCATTGGATATGGGTGGTCCTTTGTAACTCAGTTGGTAAAACATGGCACTTGTAATGCCAGAGTAGTGGGTTCGATTCCCGGGACTACCTATGAGTAAAATATATGCACTCATGACTGTACTCATGATATAAACTGCACTCATGATATAAATATAACCACGGTGTATAAATCACGTCATTAAAATACAATACACTGCCAAAAGTATGTGGACAGCTGCTCGTCGAAAATCTCATTCCAAAATCATGGCCATTAATATGGAGTTGGTCCCCCCGTTGCTGCTATAACAGCCTCCACTCTTCTGGTAAGGCTTTCCACTAGATGTTAGAACATTGCTGCGGGGACTTGCTTCCAATCAGCCACAAGAGCATTAGTGAGGTTGGGCACTGATGTTGGGCGATTAGGCCTGGCTCGCAGTAGGCGTTCCAAATCATCTCAAAGGTGTTCGATGGAGTTGAGGTCAGGGCTCTGTGCAGGCCAGTCAAGTACTTCCACACCGATCTCGACAAACCATTTCTGTATGGACCTCGCTTTGTGCACTGGGGCATTGTCATGCTGAAACAGGAAAGGGCTGTGAAGGAAACTTTCTCTAGAGAACGCGTTTCCACTGCTCCAGAGTCCAATGGCGGCGAGCTTTACACCACCCCAGCCGACACTTGGCATTGCGCATGGTGACTTAGGCTTGTGTGCGGCATGTCGGCCATGGAAACCCATTTCATTAAGCTCCCAACGAACAGTTCTTGTGCTGACGTTGCTTCCAGAGGCAGTTTGGAACTCGGTAGTGAGTGTTGCAACCGAGGACAGACGACTTTTACGCGCTTCAGCATTTGGCGGTCCCGTTCTGTGAGCTTGTGTGGCCTACCACTTCGCGGCTGAGCCGTTGTTACGCCTAGACGTTTCCACTTCACAATAACAGCACTTACAGTTGACCGGGGTAGCTCTGTTGGAAAGGTGGCATCCTATGACGGTGCCACATTGAAAGTCACTGAGCTCTTAAGTACGGGCCATACCACTGCCAATGTTTGTCTATGGAGATTGCATAGCTGTGTGCTCGATTTTATAAACCTATCAGCAACGGATGTAGCTGAAATAGCCAAATCCACTCATTTGAAGGGGTGTCCACATACTTTTGGCCATGTAGTGTATCTGCTGAATTTAGTGGTGAATCAGGGGCTCTGTTCAGTTCCTACTTCTCTTGTTTTATGGACTTGATGCGCTCCATCAGGTTTTTCTCAGCCTCTGTGTCAGAGTCTAGCGGATCATCGTTCTCAGGGACCACCGTCAGGTCAGAGCACTTCTTCTCATGCACCTGGGAGAGAACACACACACATAGTTACTCAGTGCACCTCAACGAGTAGCAAGTCCATACCACACTGGTTTAGAGGATGGGGGGGGGGGGGGGGGGGGGGGCTGTGTTATGTCATCATGCGTAGAGTTTATTTATATCATATCATGCCTGTGGCATTCCAGTGAGCTATGGTACCTAGAGGAAGGCAGGAGGTTTTGTAATGATAAGTAGGGGTAAACAGGCACTATGAAACTATGTTATTCAACCACACAACATGTAGGAACACGTCAGTATCGGGTGTGAGGGTTTTTATGCACGATTGTACTATTGAAGGAAGCTTGAGGCTGCAAATCAAAGCAAAGGTTATTTTACACCAGGAGAAAAAGACATCATCAAGAAGACAACTCATTCCCATGTCAAACATTCCCCAGCTCCATGAGTACCAAGGCTTGGTACCGGTTAACAGGGAGAATCCACAAACCATCCATCCTATCCTGAGGTTGTACAGTGTGGAATCATGTATGTTCCATACAGCACAAGCAGGCTATGATCAAGAGTAAAGTCACCAAATACTAGTCAAACCATACATGAGTCAAACCACACACAAGTCACATGTAGAAAAGACCAACAACATCAACCCAAACACCGTCACTCTGAAGAACCTTCACATCACAGACACTGAGGGCTGAAACCAACATGCAGTATAGCAGGGGTCTAACATCTAGTCGCATAGAGCTACTAGTAGTAGGTATGCAGGCCTTTGTTCTAACAGTACTAACACACACCTAGTACTACCACACACCTAGTACTACCACACGCCTAGTACTAACACACGCCTAGTACTAACACACACCTTGTACTACCACACACCTTGTACTACCACACACCTAGTACTAACACACACCTAGTACTACCACACACCCAGTACTACCACACACCTAGTACTACCACATGCCTAGTACTAACACACGCCTAGTACTAACACACGCCTAGTACTAACACACGCCTTGTACTACCACACACCTTGTACTACCACACACCTAGTACTACCACACACCTAGTACTACCACACACCTTGTACTACCACACACCCAGTACTACCACACACCCAGTACTAACACACACCTAGTACTAACACACACCTAGTACTAACACACACCTAATACTAACACACACCTAGCACTAACACACACCTAGCACTAACACACACCTAGCACTAGCACACACCTAGCACTAACACACACCTAGCACTAACACACACCTAGCACTAACACACACCTAGCACTAACACACACCTAGTACTAACACACACCCAGTACTAACACACACCTAGTACTAACACACACCTAGTACTAACACACACCTAGTACTAACACACACCTAGTACTAACACACACCTAGTACTAACACACACCTAGTACTAACACACACCCAGTACTAACACACACCTAGCAATAACACACACCTAGTACTAACACACACATAGCACTAACACACACCTAGCACTAACACACACCTAGCACTAACACACACCTAGCACTAACACACACCTAGTACTAACACATCTCTGTCACAGAATCAACTGATCATTGTCTTTGCTTGGATCCAGGTGTGTTACTGCTGGGCTGGAACAAAAGCTTGCATGCCCAGTAGCGCTCTAGAAACACTGCAGTATTGTATCCCATCAGTTAGTATGAAGAGGAGAGAAGGGGATGGGGGGCATCGACTACTTCATGTCATGCACAGACGGTTGGGAATGGCAAACAGCATCTAGCTACCAGGAGGACCAGAGCAACGTGGATACGTACCACCACTCCTTTGTAAGGAGCAGAAAACCTGAGGGGCAAATGCCAGAGCAGCTGAAGAGAAACAAGGGAGAACCACAAAACAATGAGCAGTAACCCATGGTGGATATTGGACAATACACTGACACTGAAACACCTGCAGCCTTACAGGATCAGGAGTGTAGTAGTACACCCCTGCCCTACAGTATGTAGTAAATCAAGTTGGTGACTATGGTCGGTCTGTCTACTGAGTCTATGGACCTGGTGTCAGTGTTGGGATCAATTCCATTCCAATTCAGTCAATTCAGAAAGCGACAGAGAAGCATTGAGGAAAATTGGAATAGAAATGTCAGTTTACTTCCTGAATTGACCTCAACCCTGGGTAGTGTCCAGACAGACCAGACCATGTAGAATTGTCCTCACCGTGTTCTGTCTCTTGAGTTTGAGCTGGTTGACGGCCAGAGCCTCAGCGTGCTCCAGCTGTTCGATCTCCTCCAACTTCTCATTGTAGCGTCTGATCTGCTCGTTGATCAACATCTCCACACATCTGGGACACAGCGACATTACCTGTTAGTCATCATTTCTATTGTGGTAAAGGCACTGCATTGGTTTCTATACAGTGGGTGTCCTACCTAGTTGCCCGAACAAAATATTCACTTGATAACAGCAAAGACTAGGGTTGAGATCAATCAAATCCATTCTAAGTGGACTATTATCTTATTGTGGGATGTTTTTTATCTGAATTAATAAAAATATGTTTTATATATAAAGTAACAGTAGTTTCTGTCTATGCATTGATCAGAGAGATACTTACGTGGTGGTCTTGACAACGTCCTTCATGCTCATGAGTGGGTCGGCGCTGTCTGGGCAGCGGAGGATGCAGGGGGCAAACACAATGGCCAGGGAGTTGGGAGACATGCGGTTGTGAGACTCGTCTTTAGACACTCTGGAAGAGAGAAAAATATTACTCATGTTGAAGGGAAAATAAGTTAATTCAATATTTATACAGCAATACACACTACAATATTGCAATTGCAATGTTTAAACCATGTGAGTCCTATTGAGATGGTTATCTCTTTTGAGAGAGAGCCCCAGCCATGAAGAGTATGTACTTGACTAGATGGAAGAAAAGTCTTTCCAAGGTGTTGAAGCATGCGGTGGGGAGCTGTTCCAACACTTTGTAGATGGCATGTAGCTGCTCTTGCTTTTCAGGAAGTTCTAGAGAAAGGTGAGGAATACCACAATGTATAATCAACAACAACGCCACAGTGTAGGGATTGCTGACAGTCAACAATATTACGCATTTCAACATTCAGTAGAATACAGGTACAGTGGGGAAAAAAAGTATTTAGTCAGCCACCAATTGTGCAAGTTCTCCCACTTAAAAAGATGAGAGAGGCCTGTAATTTTCATCATAGGTTCACGTCAACTATGACAGGCAAAATGAGAAGAAAAAAAATCCAGAAAATCACATTGTAGGATTTTTTATGAATTTATTTGCAAATTATGGTGTAAAATAAGTATTTGGTCAATAACAAAATTTTCTCAATACTTTGTTATATACCCTTTGTTGGCAATGACACAGGTCAAATGTTTTCTGTAAGTCTTCACAAGGTTTTCACACACTGTTGCTGGTATTTTGGCCCATTCCTCCATGCAGATCTCCTCTAGAGCAGTGATGTTTTGGGGCTGTCGCTGGGCAACATGGACTTTCTCCAAAGATTTTCTATGGGGTTGAGATCTGGAGACTGGCTAGGCCACTCCAGGACCTTGAAATGCTTCTTACGAAGCCACTCCTTCGTTGCCCGGGCGGTGTGTTTGGGATCATTGTCATGCTGAAAGACCCAGCCACATTTCATCTTCAATGCCCTTGCTGATGGAAGGAGGTTTTCACTCAAAATCTCACGATACATGGCCCCATTCATTCTTTCCTTTACACGGATCAGTCGTCCTGGTCCCTTTGCAGAAAAACAGCCCCAAAGCATGATGTTTCCACCCCCATGCTTCACAGTAGGTATGGTGTTCTTTGGATGCAACTCAGCATTCTTTGTCCTCCAAACACGACGAGTTGAGTTTTTACCAAAAAGTTCTATTTTGGTTTCATCTGACCATATGACATTCTCCCAGTCCTCTTCTGGATCATCCAAATGCACTCTAGCAAACTTCAGACGGGCCTGGACATGTACTGGCTTAAGCAGGAGGACACGTCTTGCACTGCAGGATTTGAGTCCCTGGCGGCGTAGTGTGTTACTGATGGTAGGCTTTGTTACTTTGGTCCCAGCTCTCTGCAGGTCATTCACTAGGTCCCCCCGTGTGGTTCTGGGATTTTTGCTCACCGTTCTTGTGATCATTTTGACCCCACGGGGTGAGATCTTGCGTGGAGCCCCAGATCGAGGGAGATTATCAGTGGTCTTGTATGTCTTCCATTTCCTAATAATTGCTCCCACAGTTGATTTCTTCAAACCAAGCTGCTTACCTATTGCAGATTCAGTCTTCCCAGCCTGGTGCAGGTCTACAATTTTGTTTCTGGTGTCCTTTGACAGCTCTTTGGTCTTGGCCATAGTGGAGTTTGGAGTGTGACTGTTTGAGGTTGTGGACAGGTGTCTTTTATACTGATAACAAGTTCAAACAGGTGCCATTAATACAGGTAATGAGTGGAGGACAGAGGAGCCTCTTAAAGAAGAAGTTACAGGTCTGTGAGAGCCACAAATCTTGCTTGTTTGTAGGTGACCAAATACTTATTTTCCACCATAAATTAGAAATAAATTAATAAAAAATCCTACAATGTGATTTTCAGGATTTTTTTTTCTCAATTTGTCTGTCATAGTTGACGTGTACCTATGATGAAAATTACAGGCCTCTCTCATCTTTTTAAGTTGGAGAACTTGCACAATTGGTGGCTGATTAAATACTTTTTTCCCCCACTGTAACTGCCAAAATAAAGGAAACACCAACATAAAGTGTCTTAATAGGTGTCTGGAACTGTAATGTGTCTGGAACTGTAATGTGTCTGGAACTGTAATGTGTCTGGAACTGTAATGTGTCTGGAACTGTAATGTGTCTGGAACTGTAATGTGTCTGGAACTGTAATGTGTCTGGAACTGTAATGTGTCTGGAACTGTAATGTGTCTGGAACTGTAATGTGACACCATTCTTCCACGAGAAATTCCATAATTTGTTGTTTTGTCGAGGGGTGGCGGAAAACGCTGTCTCAGGCGCTGCTACCATAAGTGTTCAATTGGGTTAAGATCTGGTGACTGAGACACACACACACACTAACACACAACCTTTAAATCCCCTAAGCTCCTTTGAGACCCCTCTTTCAAAGTCACTGAGATCTCTAGCGATGGTAGCCAAAATAATGGATAACTGGGCATTTTTATGACCTTAAGCATGATGGAATGTTTTAATTGTTTAATTAACTGAGGAACCACACCTGATTTCAATATACTTTGTATCCCTCATTTACTCAAGTATTTCCTTTATTTTTTTGGCATTGACCTGGTAGAGCAGTCGAATATACCAAGGAGAAGATAACCCCCCTGGGCTGATATAGGGACTCCCCCTAGTGGACGTACATTATATTACAAAATCCCAAACGAACAAGAGTACCCATCTCTCCCTTGATCCTGGAGAAGAGTCACAGTACAGAGTGAGGCAGAGCTATAACAGGACTCACCCACGGCCCGAAGGAAGTCATTGTAATGAGTGAAGGTCATGAGGGGGTCAGGCAGCTTTCTCAGCCACTGTTTGATCAGCCCCGTCACTGTGTGGATGGGGTAGTTCTCCAGGCACACAGCGTGGGGGTCTGCCACACAATACATCAACAACCATTAGACAGGCCATGGAATGGGAACTTGAAGGAGGTATACTTATGTCATACATAAGATCTACATTGGCACTATGAAACTTGAAAAATACTACTACTCTAGTGCTTGTGTAGGTGTTTAATTAAGCATGGGTAACACTTTATTTGAGGCTAAGGGCTGTTCTTATGCATGACGCAAAGCGGAGTGCCTGGATACAGCCCTTAGCCGCAATATATTGGCCATATACCACAAACCCCTGGGGTGCCTTATTGCTATTATAAACTGGTTACCAACGTAATTAGAGCAGTAAAAAGTGTAGGTGTTTAATGTTAAGTATGTCTTACGTACACCCCTCAAATAAAGTGTTACCCATCATAATCTTTTCAGCTCTCTGAAAGCAATGGTATACTGTTTATAATATTATGGGCTGGCTGGCCCTTACCAGTCTCCATTAGCTGGTGGAGCTCCTTCATGCGGTTGGCGGAGCCTGACTTGCGGTAGATTCCCTCTGTTAACAGGCCATTCATCTCCACATGCTCCAGCATCATCTCCAGCACTATGGGAATGGGGTTGTCCTCGCTGGTCAGGTGACACAAGCGCACCCCAAAGTGTAGGCCTCCCGACTCCTCGTCAATCTGCACACAGACAGACACCAACAGTCAGAGGCGTTTTAGTCACCAGTCACCTAGCGACCAATACTGATTTCAGATTTGCACACCTAAATCATGGAAGTATGTCAATGTAGTTTACGAATATGTGAGGTCAATGCCTACCTTTTTGACACAAAACGTGGAGCAGTCTGTGACAATTTTGCAAAGGCACTTCTTGTGGCACACCATCTTACAATCTGGAAGAATAAAACCAGAATGGGAGGCTATTAACATTTGCATCCACGATGGGTCCCAGTATGTAATGGTTATAATGTTTTGGGTTATGTATGTTTAAAGCATGCTCAGCATTCACATCAATCACTGGAGACTGTTATCCTTGTTATTAGTTGTTACTAGAATGTGAGAGTTGTCAGAATGCCTATATGTGTGTGTTTATGTCTATGAGGTACTCACAGCTGCACATGTAGACTTTCTCCATGCCCCCGATATAGGAGTTGCACTGGTCACACGACTGCATGATGTTAACCTGGTACGTGCTGAACACATGGTCCAGGGGGTTCTCCATCTAAACAATCATACATTGGACACATTGATACATGTACACAATCATTTAATGAAATGCATATCTTTCTATAGTGAACAAAGAGTAGACAGGGTTAAGGATCGACCCTGAGTTTGCACTTACGCTCTTGTCTTTTTTCCGCCTCTTCTTCCGAGCTTTAGCAGGCTGAAATATAGACAAAACCATCAATATTTAACTTACTAAATCCATAAAGACGGACAATGAAAAATATCAGTGTCTTCAGTACCAAAAACCAACGTTTTTATTTGTACATATACAGTGAGGGAAAAAAGTATATATATATTTTTATTTTCTTCTGGGGGAAGGATCAGCTTAATATTGCAGATAGATTGTATGTTCTATCAATGTAATTGTCTGCATCACTTCCAATCCCCCATGTTTTATATATATATATATATATATATATATATATATATATATATATATATATATATATATACTCCCCTTTATTACTTCTTTCCCTACTTGGAGTAAATTAGTGAACAACAATGCCCAGGCCTCTACTTCCGGTCTATACTTACTATCTACACCTTATGGACACAGTTAATTTTACAATAATTCTATTATATATATATATATATATATATATATATATATATATATATATATATATATATATATATATTTTTTTTTTTTTGCTCCTGAACTTCTTCTACTCTCAACCTCTCCGATCATTTTCATGATGTCCATCCGGTTTGCTTCTATATGCCATATCTTTCTAACTGTGCTCTTTCCCAAAAGCTCCCAACATACAACCTATATACTTATTATGGACACAGTATGCTTACATTATTAGCTATCTTTGTTATTATTTGTTGTTATTTGTTATTAGTCCCATCCTTCAACTCTATTCAATACCTCCCATCTATCTCTCTTAACACCATCCATATAGGATTTCTATTTGCCATATATATTTCAACCATACTGTGATGTTTTACAAAAGTTCTGAACCTTTCTATTCTCATTGCTTCTACAGATTGTGAATTAAAAATAAACATTTTTGCTAAAAGTATTATTATATTATTGATCGATTGACTATGACTTTTCAGATCACCCAGTAATGATAACTGCAAGGTTAGCTCCAGGTAAATATTGCAATCCTTTAGCCATTCCTGGACCTGTGTCCAAAAACAAGCTACAAATGGACAGAACCAACACAAATGATCTAATGATTCTGTCTCTTCACAGCAAAATCTGCAGAGCTGGGAAGATTGTATCCCCCATATAAATAACATTCTATTGGTAGCAAGAATTTTGGTATGCCATCCAACCCTGGAGTTTTCCCGGACTTAAAGTCTTTAATTGCATCCATAAGTTCCTCCTCTGTAATTTCACCTTCACATGAGTCTTTCTGTGTGGCTGTTAATTTGACATTATCAATAGAAAAAAAATCTCTACAATTAGCTTCAGTTAGAGGAGATGGAGGCGACTGAAAATAAAACATATGCTTAAAGTACTTAGTTTCTTCCTTCAAAATATAATTTGGTGAATTACAGTGAGGGAAAAAAGTATTTGATCCCCTGCTGATTTTGTACGTTTGCCCACTGACAAAGAAATGATCAGTCTATAATTTTAATGGTAGGTTTATTTGAACAGTGAGAGACAGAATAACAACAACAAAATCCAGAAAAATGCATGTCAAAAATGTTATGAATTGATTTGCATTTTAATGAGGGAAATAAGTATTTGACCCCTCTGCAAAACATGACTTGGTACTTGGTGGCAAAACCCTTGTTGGCAATCACAGAGGTCAGACGTTTCTTGTAGTTGGCCACCAAGTTTGCACACATCTCAGGAGGGATTTTGTCCCACTCCTCTTTGCAAATCTTCTCCAAGTCATTAAGGTTTCGAGGCTGACGTTTGGCAACTCGAACCTTCAGCTCCCTCCACAGATTTTCTATGGGATTAAGGTCTGGAGACTGGCTAGGCCACTCCAGGACCTTAATGTGCTTCTTCTTGAGCCACTCCGTTGTTGTCTTGGCCGTGTGTTTTGGGTCATTGTCATACTGGAATACCCATCCACGACTCATTTTCAATGCCCTGGCTGAGGGAAGGAGGTTCTCACCCAAGATTTGACGGTACATGGCCCAGTCCATCGTCCCTTTGATGCGGTGAAATTGTCCTGTCCCCTTAGCAGAAAAACACCCCCAAAGCATAATGTTTCCACCTCCATGTTTGACGGTGGGGATGGTGTTCTTGGGGTCATAGGTAGCATTCCTCCTCCTCCAAACACGGCGAGTTGAGTTGATGCCAAAGATCTCAATTTTGGTCTCATCTGACCACAACACTTTCACCCAGTTCTCCTCTGAATCATTCAGATATTCATTGGCAAACTTCAGACGGGCATGTATATGTGCTTTCTTGAGCAGGGGGACCTTGCGGGCGCTGCAGGATTTCAGTCCTTCACGGCGTAGTGTGTTACCAATTGTTTTCTTGGTGACTATGGTCCCAGCTGCCTTGAGATCATTGACAAGATCCTCCTGTGTAGTTCTGGGCTGATTCCTCACCGTTCTCATGATCATTGCAACTCCACGAGGTGAGATCTTGCATGGAGCCCCAGGCCGAGGGAGATTGACAGTTATTTAGTGTTTCTTCCATTTGCGAATAATCGCACCAACTGTTGTCACCTTCTCACCAAGCTGCTTGGCGATGGTCTTGTAGCCCATTCCAGCCTTGTGTAGGTCTACAATCTTGTCCCTGACATCCTTGGAGAGCTCTTTGGTCTTTGCCATGGTGGAGAGTTTGGAATCTGATTGATTGATTGCTTCTGTGGACAGGTGTCTTTTATACAGGTAACAAACTGAGATTAGGTGCACTCCCTTTAAGAGTGTGCTCCTAATCTCAGCTCGTTACCTGTATAAAAGACACCTGGGAGCCAGAAATCTTTCTGATTGAGAGGGGGTCAAATACTTATTTCCCTCATTAAAATGCAAATCAATTTATAAAATTTTTGACATGCGTTTTTCTGGATTTTTTTGTTATTCTGTCTCTCACTGTTCAAATAAACCTACCATTAAAATTATAGACTGATCATTTCTTTGTCAGTGGGCAAACATACAAAATCAGCAGGGGATCAAATACTTCTTTCCCTCACTGTATATACAGTGGGGAGAACAAGTATTTGATACACTGCCGATTTTGCAGGTTTTCCTACTTACAAAGCATGTAGAGGTCTGTAATTTTATCATAGGTACACTTCAACTGTGAGAGACGGAATCTAAAACAAAAATCCAGAAAATCACATTGTATGATTTTAAAGTAATTAATTTGCATTTTATTGCATGACATAAGTATTTGATACATCAGAAAAACAGAACTTAATATTTGGTACAGAAACCTTTGTTTGCAATTACAGAGATCATACGTTTCCTGTAGGTCTTGACCAGGTTTGCACACACTGCAGCAGGGATTTTGGCCCACTCCTCCATACAGACCTTCTCCAGATCCTTCAGGTTTCGGGGCTGTCGCTGGGCAATACAGACTTTCAGCTCCCTCCAAAGATTTTCTATTGGGTTCACGTCTAGAGACTGGCTAGGCCACTCCAGGACCTTGAGATGCTTCTTACGGAGCCACTCCTTAGTTGCCCTGGCTGTGTGTTTCAGGTCGTTGTCATGCTGGAAGACCCAGCCACGACCCCTCTTCAATGCTCTTACTGAGGGAAGGAGGTTGTTGGCCAAGATCTCGCGATACATGGCCCCATCCATCCTCCCCTCAATACGGTGCAGTCGTCCTGTCCCCTTTGCAGAAAATCATCCCCAAAGAATGATGTTACCACCTCCATGCTTCACGGTTGGGATGGTGTTCTTGGGGTTGTACTCATCCTTCTTCTTCCTCCAAACACGGTGAGTGGAGTTTAGACCAAAAAGCTATATTTTTGTCTCATCAGACCACATGACCTTCTCCCATTCCTCCTCTGGATCATCCAGATGGTCATTGGCAAACTTCAGATGGGCCTGGACATGCGCTGGCTGGAGCAGGGGGACCTTGCGTGCGCTGCAGGATTTTAATCCATGACGGCGTAGTGTGTTACTAATGGTTTTCTTTGAGACTGTGGTCCCAGCTCTCTTCAGGTCATTGACCAGGTCCTGCCGTGTAGTTCTGGGCTGATCCCTCACCTTCCTCATTATCATTGATGCCCCACGAGGTGAGATCTTGCATGGAGCCCCAGACCGAGGGTGATTGACCGTCATCTTGAACTTCTTCAATTTTCTAATAATTGCGCCAACAGTTGTTGCCTTCTCACCAAGCTGCTTGCCTATTGTCCTGTAGCCCATCCCAGCCTTGTGCAGGTCTACAATTTTATCCCCTGATGTCCTTACACAGCTCTCTGATCTTGGCCATTGTGGAGAGGTTGGAGTCTGTTTGATTGAGTGTGTGGACAGGTGTCTTTTATACAGGTAACAAGTTCAAACAGGTGCAGTTAATACAGGTAATGAGTGGAGAACAGGAGGGCTTCTTAAAGAAAAACGAACAGGTCTGTGAGAGCCGGAATTCTTACTGGTTGGTAGGTGATCAAATACTTATGTCATGCAATAAAATGCAAATTAATTACTTAAAAATCATACAATGTGATTTTCTGGATTTTTGTTTTAGATTCCGTATCTCACAGTTGAAGTGTACCTATGATAAAAATTACAGACCTCTACATGCTTTGTAAGTAGGAAAACCTGCAAAATCGGCAGTGTATCAAATACTTGTTCTCCCCACTGTATATACACATACATACACTATCATTCAAAAGTTTGGGGTCACTTAGAAATGTCCTTGTTTTCGAAAGAAAAGCAATTTTTTTGTCAATTAAAATAATTGGAAATACAGTGTAGACATTGTTAATGTTGTAAATGGCTATTGTAGCTGGAAACGGCTGATTCTTAATGGAATATCTACATAGGCGTACAGAGGCCCATTATCAGCAACCATCAGTCCTGTGTTCCAATGGCACGGTGTGTTTGCTAATCCAAGTTTATCATTTTAAAAGGCTA